AACCCTTAGCCACACGTTTATTATAAGTGAGCATTATCATCTGAGTTCCAATAGCCATTTTTATTTCTGTATGTCCATCTGGTTATGTCTTTACATATTAGCATCATTTTGGTTGATTGACTATCATCATCCATGAATGATATGCTTATATCTTTTGGGAGGTAGAGATTAGATAGGTGGGTGGATAGACAGACAGACAGACACACGATAGATAGATAGATAGATAGATAGATAGATAGATAGATAGATAGATAGATAGGGGCATATATATCATGCTTTATTAATATTTAGAGTTAGATTTAATGAACTTTGCTCTGCTATAGATAAACAAACAATCTCTCCTATGTGTATGGGCTATCACCAGCAATACATTTCTATAGCTATAAATACCACTTGTGGCTACAGAGTTCAGATTCATACGGTGTATGCATGCATTTATTGCCTTTAATATTTAGGAGTAGCTGTAAAAATGTCCTTGAAATTAAGCTGAAATATTTTATAAATTTGTCACAGAATGTTAACTCAGGTAATGAATTGCTGTCTGGTATGGTGATTAAAGTGTTGAACTATCACTGGGGAGACCCAGGTTAGTTCACCTTCAGCCACAGAAGTTCAGTGCGTGACCTTTCAGCAGTCAGTCTGTCTTAGCCAAAGTTCTTGTTTTGAGGAAAAATAAGAGGGAATAGGACATATTGGAGCTTATGAAGGAAATATGAAATATACATCAAAGAGATAAAGAAGTAAAATATGATGTTTTCTGCAGTTGAACATTAAGATTAACAAAAATGAGAGACAAGATTTTTTTTTTCTTTGATACATATCTATATGCTGTATGGATTCATGAGAAAATAACTGGACTCTGCCCTTTAAAATTTCCTATTTAAGATCTTTGGTTACTTTTGGAATAACTGCTCATATTAATGTGTTTCATACTCTGGAAAAAACATTGCTTTCCAAGTACTTCGGTAGCTTAGCATTAATTTGATTTTAATGCCTCACAGTACATTAGTAGGAAATTTTACAGATTTTGTTTAACTTAAAAGAAATCCTTCACATTTTATAAAAATAATTAATTGGCTGAAATAATTGTATTACTGTCTTACTGTATTACTGCCACCTGTTGGGATGATCTTGGTTCCCACAAGAAAACTTTTTGTTTCAACTGTTAGCTGGTCTACCTACTTTCCCCTCCCATTTCCCTCTCAGAGTTCATGACAACTATGAGGCTTCAGCCAGGTTCGCTTCAGAGTTGTGAAGTTGTGAGACATGTGGGAAAGATAAAGGGGGAGACTCAGTGGTAGTATTCAGCTGGTTCTATCTGGTTCAGGCAAACCAGTAGCAGTGGCGGCGGTGGCAGGAGGCTCTGCCGCCTGTCCATCCGCCCGGACGTCATCATGTCCCATTTTTGATGCTCTGTGCATGTGTACCGGTTCACATTTGCGAACCGGTAGCGAAGGTAAGTGAATATCACCGCTAGGGAGACTTATTTAAACAGAATATATATAAAATTCAGTGATGGCTATAATATTAATAACTATAATTAATATTAATAACTATAATTACTGATTATATAATATGTTATCTTCAGTATTGGAAGTACCTATAGTGTTAAGTAACAGTTGCTTGGAAACCTGAACAAGATATTAAAAGTATGGCCCGCTTATGGGCTTCTTCTAATTCTCTTAGCTAATGTGGGCAAAAATATTAAATTAGATAGATCAGATCATGCCTTTTAAGGGAATAACTAATTGAACTGTATTGCAATATATAAACTATTCATTTATGTGCTAATTTCTCCCCCCCCCAAAAAAAACCAACTATACAAAGTAATAAAATAAACTGAGAAGGCTTAATGGAACAGGTTAAACTCTATTGGCAATGAATTCTGAATATGCAATGGATTTTGGCTAAATAACCTGAAGCAGAATAAGGTTTAAGAAAAGAAAAGAGTTGCATTGTTGATCTCTAATAAATGTGTCAAAAGTCTATTAGTGAAATTATAGACTACATGCTTAATAGTTCTATCTATTCATCTTTCTTTCGTCTCCCTTTCTTTTTAATGGGATATCTAAAATAGACCCATATGACCTATTGGACTTTAAATTAACTGTGACTCAACTATATTGATTTTCTCAGACTACTCTATATATTATTAAGTCTAGATCTAAGCTATGTATCTTGTGCAAACTGCTTAAAGGAAGCAGAGAAGATGTTAGTTTATGATGTAATATTAATGCCTAACTGGCTTTCCTAACTTGGAATTGCATTTTATTACTCTTACAGTCTTCTACCTACAACAGTGACATAGATAAACTCATTGAAATTAAATGTATAGAATTTACACTGAAAACTTAAAAACACAATGTAAGAATCACACTTGAAATTATATTTAGTGAATGTTAAAAGTGCTTATCTTTCTAGTTGAATATATAACACATTGGATTTAAACATTTTATCAGTTATGGTCTGGTATTCAAATGGAACTTTGATATATTTGTAGAAAGAATATCCACTCTTATTCACACATACAAATGATATTTCATTTAACTATTTTAATTATTGTATAATTAACAGATCAGTATCTCTAAATGATCTTCATTTATCCATAATGAAAACAAAACCCAACATTCCAAAATCAATGGATATAATATAAAAAGTAGTGCATGGCAACAGAACTCTTAATTCTGTCACGTTCTTCCATTTTCCTCAAAATAATTGGTATTTAACATTATCCAACGTACAATTTTATTTTTAAGAATATGCTCTTACTTTTGACCAGTTATTTCATTTGTCTGCTTCTTGAACTCTTAATTTAGAAAATTTATGCATGAGTTGAAACAAAAAAGTGTGCTTAAATTTGTACTCAGACATGAAAATAACAATATAATTTAGTTATAGATCAGACTCTATATATGTCAAACTCCAGGCCCGTGGGTCAGATGTGTTACATGCTGGCCACGCCCATGGTTTAGCAAAGGACAAAAAAGTCCCGATATGTCACATGACGCTGTTCTGATGCCGTGAATTTGACACCCCTGTTATAGATCATATATGTCATTTAATTTCTTGAATTGAAATTTGAACTACTTTCAGACAAGTGCATTTTTTGAAAAAAAATGAAAGCAGCTAAGTTAACATAACTGGACAAATCACCAATTAATTGTCTTTTAAAATATCCTTCGTTCCTTCCTCTTTTTTTTGCCTTCAAATCAGTCTTGACTCTTTCCAAGCTTATGCAGGATTGTATGTGGATTCCTGTCTGCACCCCAATAACATTTTCAGTAGCCTTCTTCATAAGTTGAGAAAGAATGACTGCCTCAATGTCACACAATATTGGTTTCTATGTCTAACACAGAATAAGGGCTCAGGTTTCTCCATCAGCTTAATCAATAAATTATGCTGATTGTCATTAAACATCAGCAATTGCTTTTTGTTGAGAAATAGGGTGTTATGTTCAATAACTGTTTAAATTATGGGGTTATTTATATTTATGTTCTTTATCAATCCTTCTAATGCTAAAAAAGGTATCACTATCAAAATGTATGGCTACAAGGCTGCAGAGTTTATTAATTCAGCTACAAGTGACATTTCTGCAACTCCACTGTTGCTGAAGACCACAGAAACACTAAGACCTCATCTAGCCCATTGCATTTAAGCCTTAAATTTCAATCTACCCTTCATTTTCAAACTTTGGACTTTAGTGACATCAGCAACATTTAAAGATGATTTTTGCCTTACGTTTTCCACAGGCTATTCTCCCAGTGTTCAAGTTTCTGAGTTCATTACTTTTTACCCGTAGGCTCATGTCTATCATAAAGGCTGCCATCGAAGACACAGAGAGATCTAATAAGATGTTCTAAAACAATCAGCTAAAAACTGGGCAAAGATACTGTTTTCAAAATTTGGCAGAGAGAAGGGGAAAAGACTTGAAGTGTTTTACATACCAAAGAAATTAGGAGTGATTATATTTTATAAAGATTATCGAAGTTTAGGAAGGCTCTGCTTTGTCTAAAAACACCAATGAAATCAATATTTCATTTACAGTCACAGGTCCTATATATCTGAATAAATTCACTCTAGCTCTTGTTTACATTTGCTGTCAATGTTTCAAACTGGCAACTAGCTCATGGTTAATTATTTGATTTTCTACTGTGTCTCAGAGCACATATCTATATAGTACTGTAAACATTTCTCTGTTTTTAAAACTTCCATATAAAATTAGTTCAAATTGTGAATCTTGGAATGCTGCAGGAGTGAAAAGTGTGATGCAGTTTAAAAAGTCAAATGCAACTCTAAATTTCATCAATACGATTATACTGTGTACATTAAAAAAATAATTATTTTGCATTGGTCAACACTTACTAAGAATATGTATTCATTTCTGGGCATCACATTTTAAATGAATTCTAACAAACTGAAGCATGTCCAAAACAGAACAGCCATATATTCTGTTATAATAATGAGCCTGCAAGGAAAACACTTATGAACAATTGTTGGCACATTGAGAATGTTTAAGCCACAGAAAAGAAACTGAGATGAGGTGTGTTAGGTGTCTTCAAGTAGTTGAAGGATTGCTATGTGGAAGACAGAGTTTTGTTCCACAAGTTAGGATGAGAAATTAAAATAAAAATTATTCCTTATATGAAAAACTTCCTAATGGTAAGAACTATTAAGCAGCATAATCATCTCTGCTGGAAGAATTTAAACAGAGGTTAGGTGGCCATCTATCAAGCTATATTGCTGGAGTTCAACTAAATAGTACCAAGTTTTCAAATTAGAGCATATCATTTTAATTTTTCCAGCATTTACAGGTAGTTCTTGATTTATGACCACAATTGAGCCCAAAATTTCTGTTGCTAAGTGAAACATTTGTTAAGTGAATTTTGCGCCATTTTACGACCTTTCTTGCCATAGTTGTTAAGTGAATCATTGCAGTTGTTACGTTGGTAACATAGTTGTTAAATGGATCTGACTTTCCCATTAATTTTGCTTGTCAAAAGGTAGCAAAAGAGGATCGCATGATGTTGGGACACAGCAACAGTCATAATTATGAACCAGTTGCCAAGCATCTGAATTTTGATCACATGACCATGGGTATGCTACAAAGGTCGTAAGTGCGAAAAATTGTCATAAGTTGGCAATGCATGAAAAAATTGCCAATTTTTTCAGTACCATTATAATTTTGAACTTTTATAAATAAACTGTTGTAAGAACAGCTATAGAAAACTTTCAAAAGTTTGTGCAGATACAGGCAGATAATCAACTTTTTTTATAGCTATATATCTATCCATTTTTTAGGATACCACAGGGCCGTGTTGGTGAACCTATGGCAGGCGTGCCGGAAGTGGCACGCAGACCCATTTTTCCGGGCACGCGAGCCGTCGCCAAGCTCACTTGAAACTGCGCATGCGCCCCAACTGGTGTTCAGGCCTCTGGTGTGCCTGCATGCAATTCAGGGGACCCAGCTGGTTTTCAGAGCTCTTCTGCACATGCGTGCGTGTTTGCACACATGCATTGCATGCACAAAAGCTGTGTGCATGCGCAGATAGTGCGGTTGCATGCGCAGCACATGGGAAGCAGCCGTGCATTACTGTGGATGGCACATGAGCATGTGCAGGGCGCGTAGCGCATTCCTGTTCGGCACTCGGTAAGTAAAAGGTTCACCACCACTCCCATAGGGCAAAGGTAGACAAATAATTGCTTAGGACTATAAGTAACTCTTGATCTAATACCATGTGCCCTTCAGCCTAATTTATAAATTATAACATGAGACAGCTTGATAAATATTTAAACCATAAATATTAACTATTCCTTCTTTTCAATATATTTCTTTATATATTGGAGATAAGGAATCCCAATATATATATTGGGGCTAAGGAACTGGAGTTTCATAAAACAAAACAGAGTGTATGAAAAAACGGGTGTGGGTGTTTCCCACCTATTCTTGGCTATTGGCCCAACTACGGTTTTATTGCTCCCAACCTTAAAACAGACTGTTCTTAATATTTCAGGTGCCATAATACTTCCACTTTTTCTGCGTAGTTGGGGAAGTTTATAGATGTTTTTGTACATTTATTCTGGGTACCATTTTTCTTTTTCCTATCTAACGTGAATTATGTTTTTCATAAGGATACAAAATTGGAATTTATTTTCACATGAAATATTTCTGCCATATTTACAGAAAAAACAGCATATGATGAAATGAAGCTGAACAACAATCAAAACAATTACTGTACAATATTATATTATATGATGCAATAATTACTTCCAGCATTTTATGTTCATAACTGGGCATTACCAATATACAATATACTTTTTTAATAAAGCTATTCAATTGTTCTTTAAAATGATTGATATTTAAATCCCAATGTCTTTCATTTAAACTGAGTTTAAAACTAAATGACAGCTATAAAAATATTTTCATACACAGTCAATATCTGTGCTAGTGGCACTTTCCTCTTTAAAAAAGCATCCTTCTGTCTGTTTAAGAGACATACACAGGCAGTATAGGTTATACAATATGAACATTTAAATGAAAAAAAGCTAAACCATACTCCTTAGGACTGGTATATTAATGATTTGCCTGCACTACTATTTTGAGTATTTTCCTATTATTTCTGTGCATGTATGATAGTGGCATTCATAGATCAAATTACAACTGAAAGACCAACTTGGCAAAATATATTTTTTTAAAATGATGAACTTTGCCTTGCTATATAATTTCCTTTATTTTAAACAACTTGCAAATAATGCTTGCAGAACATTTAGTTGCAGATTAGTGAATTATAAATACATTTATAAACTAAAATCAACAGGCACATTTTCAAGTTTTAAGACTCTGGACACTTTCACACCATCATCATTTAACACTGTTCAATCCCCCTGAACAGTTGGAGATGACTGTAATCATCTTTCTTTGCACTGATCTGCAGAAATTGCCATGAACCTAAGAGTGTTCCAGTCAGCTGGCCCACTGGAGAGTACAAAGAATTAAGTACTCCTGCTGCCAGTTCTTCTGTAACAAAACTTTCTCAGCCTATTCAATGTAAGAAAGAAATAAACTAAATTGGTGCTCAATTTTCAATCTCTTAGTTCACTATTCTGATCATCATCCTTCTTCCTGACCCCCTGAAATCTGACTGATTACTCTATTTGAAAAAGCAAAATTCTTTTATATTTAGAGCCCCCTTTTTCTGAAATGAAAGTATTTGGCCAATTTTGGGAGGTTTTTGTTTTTCCCAGGAGCTATAACCATGGTTACATCTTTCACTTTTGGCTGTAATGAAGAATAGCAAATATTATAATATATACAATAGGACTATGTAGTTCTTTGAAAAGATGCTTCACAGTGCCTTGAGCTAATCACATAATACCTGTCTGCAATTTTTAAAGCAACTGTGTTTTAAAGCATCTGTAGCACAATTTTGGAAAAGGCAGGAGTTGAAATCAGAGATTATGTGTGCACTTTAGCATGCCTGGAAACATCTTTTTGCATTTAAATATAAAATGTTTCCCAGCTCTAATAAACAGAAAGGCACCAGAAACATGAATTCTATTGAGGCCATGAAACAAGAGATTTCTAAAAGTAAACAGCTCACCACCAGTTTAACAGGCCAAAGGCCTTACTTTCACTTGGTATAAACCACAATAGAACCATGACTTCTGATTTGGATGGTTATTCTTGGCAAAATGAGAATCTCTTTTTCCCCCTCTCTCATTTAAGTTGGGAATAATATATGATTTACAAAAGGTAAAAAAAGACATTTAACAAAAAATGAACAGCAAAATAATGAGATGCTTACAGTGAAAAATATGCCAACAAGATTTTGAGGGATCAATATATTGTTTATGATAGTAATGTGACCAGGAGTTGTTTTTTTTTTAATCAAACAGACAGGAAATTCCCAAAAAATTGGCAACTGCAAACTTGAGATGTGGGGAGAAACCTTAAGCTACCATGCAAGCCAGAGGAGGGTTTCAGCAGGTTCTGACCAGTTCTGGAGAACCAGTACCAGAAATTTTGAGTAGTTCGGAGAACCGGTAGTAAAAATTCTGACTGGTCCCGTCCCCATCTATTCTCTGCCTCCCAAGTTCCAGCTGATCAGGAAGAAATGGGGATTTTGCAGTAACCTTCCCCTGGATTGGGGAGGGAATGGAGATATTACAGTATCCTTCCCCTGCCACGCCCACCAAGCCACGCTACACCCACCAAGCCACACCCAGAGAACCAGTAGTAAAAATTTTTGAAACCCACCACTGATGCAAGCAGTAATTACAAACTATACCACATTATTGTCAAGAATAGCAAATAGTTGTGTGGATAAATCACCAAGAAGTAAGATCAATTGGAAGAAGTAAGTAACCGTAGCTCAAAACATGTCACAATATACATTAAAATAACAATGAAACAATGAAATTATAAAATAGAGGAATACAGTAGTATATGTACTTAGGCTACAACAGAATAAAGTCAAAACTACTAATAAGTATTTCTTTCTACTTATTTAAATGATGGCAGAGAAAAGTTTGGTTGCTGACAGTTTGAAACACATCTCCAAAATCTTTCAATTTTTCAAGACAGAGCTGTTGAATTTATCTGCCATTAATAATTTGACCCTGATTTCATTATAAATGAGGCAGTAAAGGACATCATGGATAATATTGTCACTTGACCAACAGGGATAGAGAAATTGCTCAACAGGAAGGATGTTCTTGATATGCAGCCCCATAAAGCATCTGGGCTACCACTTGCTTTGAAATATTTTAAGTACAAGGGAACTTAAATGAGATATTATTTCTACCAGAACCCAACATAATTTAGTGCTAGGAAGCTATTATTGAGCATTGTCTCAAATTGTCAATCTATCTTGAAACAATGAATCAGGGAAGTGTTCAAAATAAAACTCATTGTGTCCATGAGTGACTTCAGATATCCTTACACAGATAGGGTAATAGTCATTCCACAGAGATATAATTTATGGATATTTTAAATTACTGTGCATTGAATTATTGGTCTTGGAGCCAAAAAGGCTGTAATTTACTATGAACTTAATTATAGTAACTCTTAGAATAAAATGTGAGATGAACTGAATGGAAACAGGAAGTATAGAATTATCAAATGTAATTGATTTATAAGTGAAAAGTTATCAGGGATATCTGTCCAAGACTGTAATGTTTGATGCTTAAAAACTGAAACCTTCAATACAAAACCTAAGGGTGCTTTTTTCAAGAAGCAACTGGACTTTCTGGCTTTTCTTTGAAGATGTTTCGCTTCTCATTCAAGAAGTTTCTTGGATGACAAGTGAAACATCTTCAAAGAAAAACCAGAAAATTCTTCTCTCTCAATTCCAATATAGCCGGATTATCTGTGTTTCTTTCCAACATTTTGTCTGTAACTTCTGATTTATTCTCCAGAATTTCTGCTTTGTCATTAATTTGTTTTACATCTCCATTGTCTTTCAGAGCTTCCCACCTTCTTAACTTCTGTTATTTCCTCTTTCATCTTTAGGAGGCTTCTATCCATTCTTTTTTTTTCAAAAATTCTAAAATTTTAACTAAAATATGTTCATCACATAGCTCATGCTTTACATAATAGCACATAATGTTCAGCTCCATCAGTTCTCCTTCCCTCCCACTCATGGCAACTTGAAAGCTTTGCAAGTTGGCAAAGGCATCATCATTCAGTGTTAATCATCAAACTCCATTAAATTCTATCACAGACAACAATATACAGATAGTCTTCGACTTACAACCACAACTGGACCAGAAGTCCCAAAAGTGCTCTTTCAAGAGGCGACTGGACTTTCTGTTTTTTTTCTTTTAAGACATTTCGCTTCTCATCCAAGAAACTGAAGAAGAAATGTCTTCAAAGAAAAACCAGAAAGTCCAGTTGCCTCTTGAAAAAGCACCTTTGGGACAACCAGGACCTGGATGACTGAGAATCTCCATATACATCAATACAAAACTAAATTTAAAAGAGACATGGGCTATCACCAATTATTCTAGAATACATTTGATACTTTTAAAACTGTAATGAGGTAGTATATGGCTCAGATCATGAAAGACTTCAACAGAACCCAAAGGTTAACATTACTGTTAAATGTAGCTGTCTGAGATTTCATTCTACAATAATTTTTCAAGCAACTTGCAGACTACATTGCAACTATATCATTAGAGGAGTCCTTCATGGTCTTTTTTTTCCACAGGTCCAAAGTAGCAAGGAAACCTACAGAATGAAGCATCTTTTATTGTCTCAAAAATAAAATAAAAACAATATGAAATGAATCCTAAAGGAATTTTAATATACTTTGATAAAGTGATGAGGAGAAGAAAAGCTTTTCTTATACTGCGGTATTCCATACTAAAAAAAAAAAAAAGGTAATATTTTCTATGAATAAACATACATTTATTTTAAATGTAATAGAATTTTAAATTTTAATTGCAATTGGTTTGGCATTAAATGTAAATGTACATATGGGAATTAATTTCATAAAGTAATTGACTGTAATTATTGGCAATCAATGTGACTTACAAGTTCTATTATTATGTATGAGGGATTGTTTCATTTTGCTTGACCATGAAAAATAAAATACAATTTTAACTTATATAAGCTGAATATTGGGAGCCAGTTTGGTGTAGTTTTAAGGCTTCAGGCTAGAAACCAGGAGACCAAGAGTTCTAGTGTTACCTTAGACCAGGGGTGTCAAACTCGATTTCATTGAGGGCCGCATCAGAATTATGTTTGACCTCAGGGACCAGGGTGGACGTGGCCAGTTTGACATTATTCATGTCAGGGGCACCTATGGTGGCCCGAGACCTCTGTCAGCAAAAACTCCTGCAACCATCTGCTAGTGAAAAGAGCTCAGGACGATCGTGGATGGCTCTTGCGAGGTCTGTTTTTGGCTGGTATGGCCTCCTGCAACCATCTGCCAGTGAAAACTTTCACTGGCAGAGGCACCGTGGGCTGGTCCTTCACTGTTTCCAGGAGGTGGCCTGAGGGCCTTGAGTTTGATACCCCTACCTTAGACACAAAGTCAGCTGATTGGTAGTATTAAATCAGTCAGTTTCTCTAGGAAGGAGGAAACAGCAAACCATTTCTGAAAAACCTTGAATCTCTGACTGAACAGAAAAAAAAAAAGTACATTTACCTAATTTAATTTTTCATATACGTATAAACCTAAAAGTTGCATTAATTTTTTTAAAAAAATTCATTCAGTGGTGGTAAAACTGGCTATTTGTAATTAGCATAAAAACTGTTAAGTTTTTCTTCAGTTGGTTGGTTGGATGTGCTTCTAGTCAGCAGAGTGCTAAAACATTTTCTGCTTCCATAATTCTATTTATTTTTCAACATTTGTTAAAACTAGCTATTTTATTAAATGCACGGATATATTTGTATATTGATTTTTAGAAAGTATGTAGATTTTGAGATAGAATACTCCAATGTTTTGGTAATCTAAACATCTATTAGCATATGCCTACAAATATTAAAACATATATAACTTAAGCCTATCAAGCATTTCTTGAAAGTGTGAAATACAGTTCTAGTAAAACAAAACAGAAGTGTGTCCAGACTTTAAAATATGTACTTCCCAAACTACATAGGTATGAGTGAAGCTCTTTCAAAGTTAGGATAGACAAGTGTACCAAAGCTCTGGCTTTCATGCAAGCATTCAGAAAAAGAGGCACTTCATTTCCCAGTTGAAGTATTGGTAGTATCTGCAATTCACTTGCCCATTCAGGAATATCCTTCAAAGCAGCTATATCAAAGGCATGGAAGCCTTGACACTTTCTGAAGAGTCTTTTTAAAATACTTTGCCAAGGTTGTTTGCAAGTTTCAATAAATATCAAGATGGCAACCACAAAGATAAGTTGAAGCTCCATTCTTTTTCTTATGTGAGTCATAGATCAAAAACAGGCAGAGCTTTGATCTCACTGTTGCAGCTGCCGTCTCAACCTTTTTGACCATATGCTACATTAGCCCAGTGCATATTGCCTAGAGAGTATTTTTGAATTTTAAATGAAAACAATTCTGTGTATTAAAATGCATGGTAAGTCTGAGGTAAAATTTTATCAGATTTAATTTACCATGATGGTTTGTTCTAATTAGCAGTGTATTGAAGTTAGTAGGTTATTCATTTATTTATTTACTTGCTTGCTTTGAAACATCTATAAAGAATTCCTTGTAAAATTAGTAATATGCTTACATTTAAAGCACTAAGGGGCTAAGAAGATTGAGAACAAGAATCTTTGTAGTTTTAAACTATAAAGTTTTTTTCCTGCACACAAACTTAAGCCATTATATTTTTATGCATTCCATACCTTGAGCATATTTGAATGTGTTTACACAACTTTTACACTTATCAAAACTCATAGTCAAGTTTCCAAAAAGAGACAATTAATAAACCATTATTCTGTCCATCTGTTGCAGCATTTATTGTTGCCTTTATTCTCTCTCCAAATATGTTGTAAAAGGCCTTCCCTTTATTTTGGCATTGCTCTCAAATATGTTAAATCTATTTAAGGACTGTTGGAATAAAAATCTAGGCCCGGTTCCAAGCTGGGAATAAAATGGAGGCTGATTGGAAAGAAAGATTCTGTTTATTGATGAACAGAACCAATACACACACAGTGTGCAGTTCTGGGACAGCTGACAAATGGAATTGAGAATGGGTGGGTTTTATACCTTCTGGATTCCTATGGGGTCATGTAGAGGTCATGGCTGGCTCTATAGGCAAAAGGGGAAATGCAAATCCTAAGTGTTTGTCTGAGCTAATCTTGTCAAATTTAGGTTTGTTGCTTATCTAAAGCTTCAGTCTGAACCAGTCTTTCTAAAGTCCCAAATCTTCATTTCTAAAAGCTAGCCTCCGTTTTTGCTTGGGGCTGACAGACCGTAGCTGGTTTCTGCCTCCATTAAGATCCCCCACCCACATTTCTCCTTTAGGGGAAATATTCTATCCTGCCTTTTTTAATATTCCCCAAAATATTTCATTCTCTAGGAGGATGGTTGGGTGATGACTTTCTACAGGGCTTATGTGCCACATTAAATTTTTGCACATAACGAAAATGCCAAAATTACGAGAATTACCAAAATCTCTAACTTTTGGTCTATGTGACTTTGCACTGTAAAATCCTGGATATAGAAATCGGTATAGAAATCAAATCAAATAAATAAATAAATAAATAAAATACGATATCTCTGAACAGAAGCTGAAAAAGAGAATAAGAAGAATCTCCAATGTGTTATTGGAGGCAAATCTTTCTTACATCAGTTATAGATCTTGCTATAAATAATCCATAGAATCTGAAATAAATTACACAAATCAGCTGGTAAATGAATAATATAGATAACACTTTTTTCTGTAAATAAAGTTCAAAAAAATTCTTACTGCTTTTCAGTGAACATGCCAAATTTCACATTTTTTTTTTAAAAAAAAGTCTAATAGTACAATTTACGTCATTGTTTATTAGGAAGGGGGTATGAATTCTAACAGAATGCAATAGTTAATCTTATGTTATCTATACCTTCAAAATAAAGTTAATACCTCTAGTAATTCACATGAGCCTAAATGGTAACAGATCAATTTTGTCCCTTACGATTTCAGCTTCCTGACAGCAAAATGATTATGAACTGCCTGGAGGCATAGCTTTTCTTTTAATAAAATGTTGAAAATTCAAACCTTCAAGTATAACTATTCTTTGGTGGTATGATAGGAGAAAAATGGAGTGTACTTATTAAATTGTCAGAACATTAAAAGTCTATAAATCTTAACGATTAAACTGTAGATCAGCTAAATTTTATTATGTGCATGTGAGTTTGGAGAAGAAAGCTACAAATAGATATAACAACCACAAAGACACCCACATAAGACTGTCTCTTAGACACATTTTAATGAACAACTATCAGCATATACTTATACATCAGGAATAAAATAAAAATAACACAAAGAAATTGAGGACGACACAAAAATATTTGCAGAATCCATAGATAGCCTCTCCCTCCATTAGCGTGCTTTTTTGTGTGCATTTTTAGAGGAATGCCTGCTTGCATGGAGGCTGGAGTGATTCTGGACCTGGACCTGGATTTGGACTCATTTGGACTATTTAGGATGCATTTCAAAAGGATGGGGAAAATGTATATTATGAGGCTTTAAGCTTATAGATATGAGATAAGATATAGGATGAAGGAACGATGGTGTGTTGTTGTTTTTTTGTATTTTTTAAATAATCAGTAAAGTAAATGAAAAGAATATGAAATTGAGTTATTATTTAATGTTAAAATATATACTGGTAGTCCTTGACTTGCAGTCATTCATTTAGTGACCAATCAAAATTACAATGGCATTGGAGAAAGTGACTTATAATCAGTATTCACACTTACAAACATTAGCCAGGTAATAAAAATTTGGGCACTTGTTACAGTGTCAGCATCCTGGGGTTCTTTAATCATCAGTTGCAATCTTCTTATTCTGAAAAGTAAAATCAATCAATGGATGAAGCCACATTTGCATAATGTCCATGTCATTCACTTAACAACCATGGCAAAAGAGGTCATCAAATCTGGATGAAGTCATATAACAGTTGACTTTCTTAGTAATGGAAATTGTGGTCCAATTGTCTATGGAGCTTCTCAGTCATCCAGGTCATGGTTGTCCCAAAGGTGCTTTTTCAAGAGGCAACTGGACTTTCTGGTTTTTCTTTGAAGACATTTCTTCTTCAGTTTCTTGGATGAGAAGCGAAATGTCTTAAAAGAAAAAAACAGAAAGTCCAGTCGCCTCTTGAAAGAGCACTTTTGGGACTTCTGGTCCAGTTGTGGTTGTAAGTCGAAGACTATCTGTATATTGTTGTCTCTGATAGAATTTAATGGAGCTTGATGATTAACACTGAATGATGATGCCTTTGTCAACTTGCAAAGCTTTCAAGTTGCCATGAGTGGGAGGGAAGGAGAACTGATGGAGCTGAACATTATGTGCTATTATGTAAAGCATGAGCTATGTGATGAACATATTTTAGTTAAAATTTTAGAATTTTTGAAAAAAAAAAAGAATGGATAGAAGCCTCCTAAAGATGAAAGAGGAAATAACAGAAGTTAAGAAGGTGGGAAGCTCTGAAAGACAATGGAGATGTAAAACAAATTAATGACAAAGCAGAAATTCTGGAGAATAAATCAGAAGATACAGACAAAATGTTGGGAAGAAACACAGATAATCCGGCTATATTGGAATTGAGAGAGAAGAATTTTTGTTTGAGATGTAGTTCAATGTCAGAGAAGACTTGTGAAGATATTAGATAAAAATGTTATTAAAGTGTTAGCTTTTTTTAAAGATTTGAATGAGAAGATTATAGAAGCTGTATATAATAAGTATAAGATTTGTGAGAATAAGAAATTCTTATTCTAACTGCATGGGAAGTTTTAATCTGCACATTGTCAGGACAATGATAAGGGATCAAGTTTTATATTCAAAGAATTTAACTAAGATTTTTAAAGTAGAAAACTTACTAAAGACTTTTTTTGGATGATAATCTTGTGAGTAATTTACAAAATAATATCTAATTGTTTTAAATAGAGACTGAACAAAATGTTGCTACAGGAAAAAAAAAGTGCAGATGGTTGCAAAAATATTAAAATGTTTTTTTTAAAAAAAATAAGTTAGATAAAAGCACTGATTTAAGATGGCTTGAAATGCAATAAAATAAAAGCTTTTATTAGATTTTATTTTAAAGAACATAGTGAACAAATAGTAAATTTAAAAAGAAGTCAAGAGAAAAAACATTTTTTTAAAAAATAAAGAGAAAATAAGAATTAAAGCAATTTCCAGACAAGTTAAGTCTCAACAAATTAAGAAGAATCTATATTAACAAAAAGAAAAATGGAAATAAATTAGTTCATAAAGCAAAACAAAACCAAAACCAAAACCAAGTTTGTAAATAAACTAGCAAAATGACCTGCGTATAAATTACAAAAAAGTAAAGAAAAGAGAATTATATAAGTATTACAAGAAAGGGATACAGTATTGGTGGACAATGCACCCATACAAAAGGTATTACATCAATATTATTCCAATTTGTCTTTAGAAGAGCATATGACGGCCATGGCCAGGGGGCTTTTTATCAGGTTCGCCTGATATGCCAGTTGCGTCCCTTTCTGGATTGGGACTCCCTACGCACAGTCACTCAGGCACTCGTCACCTCCCGCCTGGACTACTGCAATGCTCTCTACATGGGGCTCCCCCTGGGGTGCACCCGGAGGCTCCAGCTGGTCCAGAATGCAGCCGCGTGGGGGATTATGGGAGCGATGGGGCGCTCCCATGTGACACCTCTCCTGCGCGAGCTGCACTGGCTCCTGGTGGTCTTCCGGGTGCGCTTCAAGGTGTTGGTGACCACCTTTAAAGCACTCCATGGCTTAGGGCCGGGGTATCTATGAGACCGCCTTCTGCCACCAATAGCCTCCCACCGGCCAGTATGCTCACACAGAGAGGGCCTTCTCAGGGTGCCATCCACCAGACAATGTCGGCTGGGGACCCCCAGGGGAAGAGCCTTCTCTGTGGCGGCGCCCACCCTCTGGAACAACCTCCCCACAGAGATACGCACAATACCAGACCTCCGGACTTTTCATCAGGCCCTGAAATCTTATTTATTTCACCTAGCCGGGCTGGCTTGATACCACTGTTTCGGTTAAATTGAATTGATTTTAATTGGGTTGTTTTAAATTGTGGCCAAAAATATTTAATTACTTTTTAAACTGTTTTTAAATTTTGTATGTTCTGTTTCATTCTGGCTGTTCACCACCCTGAGTCCTGTTGGACAAAATAAATAAATAAATAAATAAATAAATAAATAAATAAATAAATAAATAAATAATAAAGGAAGAAAGAAAGAAAGAAAGAAAGAAAGAAAGAAAGAAAGAAAGAAAGAAAGAATAAATATATAAATAAATTTGTATAAAAAAGTGACATATCACTAGAAGAAATAGATATAAAGAAACAAAATTTACCAAGCATTACAGAAGAAAAGATACAGATTAAAAATGAATCTATATAATAATGAAAATCCCTGAAGCTATAGGAAAGATTAGGAACAGTGGTGGTGCAATGGTTAGAATGTAGTACTGCAGACTATTCTGCATTCGATTCTAAATGGCTCAAGGTTGATTCAGCCTTCCAGCCTTCCGATGTTGGTAAAATGAGGACCAAGATTGTTGGGATGACTGTAAACCACTTAGATAGGGCTGTAAAGCACTATGAAGCAGTTTATAAATCTAAATGCTATTGGTATTAAACTAGGAAAGATGCCTAGATGGATTATCACGTTCTTATTGTACATGTCTTAGAATCAATTTTTACAACTTTTTCAACATTTACAAAACACAATGAACTCTATCGTATAGAGAGGAAAAATACCAGAGACTTAGAGAGACACCAATATAGTACTAATATGAGGAACAAAATTTGAAAGATTTGACATTAACAAGAAACTTCAGGACAATACAATTATTTAATACTGACTAAAAGTTGTTCACAATGATTCTATATGATAGATTAAAAATAATTTTGCAAGAATTTATTCATGAGAGTCAATCTGGATTTTTACCTAGGGGAAGTTAAAGGGGCTTTTTATCAGGTTTGCCTGATACGCCAGTTGCGTCCCTTTCTGGATCGGGACTCCTTATGCACGGTCACTCATGCCCTTGTCACCTCTCGCCTGGACTACTGCAATGCTCTCTACATGGGGCTCCCCTTGAGGAGCACCCGGAGGCTCCAACTTGTCCAGAATGCAGCCGCGCAGGTAATTATGGGGGCGACATGGCGCTCCCATGTAACACCTCTCCTGCATGAGCTGCACTGGCTTCCGGTGGTCTTCTGGGTGCGCTTCAAGGTATTAGTTCTCATCTTTAAAGCGTTCCATGGCTTAGGGCCCGGGTATTTATAAGACCACCTTCTGTCACCGATAACCTCCCACCGGCCAATGCGCTCTCACAGAGAGGGTCTCCTCAGGGTGCCGTCGGTCAAGCAATGTCAACTGACGACCCCCAGGGGAAGAGCCTTCTCTGTGGGGGCACTCGCCCTCTGGAACGAGCTACCCCAGGAATACGACTGATCCCGGACTCCGTACTTTCTGCCGAGCTTTGAAGACTTTCTTATTTCAGCAAGCCGGGCTGGCTTAAAATTTTAATGGGTTATTTTATGGGTAAAGGGTTTTAAAATTGGGGAAGCCAAACTGATTTAATTCTGTTTTAACTTATTTTAATTTTTATATTGTATGTATTTTAATCTTAGCTGTTCACTGCCCTGAGTCCTTCAGGAGAAGGGAGGTATACAAATTAAATAATAAATAAATAAATAAATAAATAAATAAATAAATAAATAAATAAATAAATAAATCAATAAATAAATAAATAAATAAATTAAATAAATAAATAAATAAATAAATAAATAAATAAATAACAATGTTAAAAATGTGTTGGACATTTTGAATATTTGGAGCAACATAATACAAGCCACATTGATTTTCTTAGATGAACGGAAGGCCTTTGACAATTTTAACTGGGTTTCCTTGTTGAAGGTTTTGGAAGATATGAATTTTAGAGAGAACTTTATAAAATGAATAAGGTCGATTTACACTTCACAGAAAACCCTATGCGATACAAAAAGGATCAAGATAGCAATGCTACTGTCTCCTCTCTTGTTTATTTTGATTCTGGAAATACTGACTAGAGATATAAGACAAGATCAGAGGATCATGGGAATAAAGATTTTAAAAGAAACTTTTAAGTAAAGGGATTTTGCAGATGACTTGGTATTGGTTCTGGGAGATTCTTTAAAGAAAACTGAAACATTAATGGGCAATTTTTAAAAAAAATATGAGTTAGTAGTAATTAACAATAAACAGAAGACAAAGACACTAATAAAAATATTTAAATAAAAGTTCATGAATTCATAAATTCAATGGGTTTTAAGACTGAAGAGATAAAATATCTGGGTATCACTATGATAAATATGGACTATGTTATTTCAAAATGATTATGTTAAGACATAGAATTAAATTGAGAGAGGGGGGAGGGAGGAGAGAGAGAGAACGAGAGAGAATATACAATTGGTTTTGCAAGTTAAATTTTTGTAATACAAATTAGTACATTCTCTAGAATAATATTTTTATTTCAGGTAAAGCCTGTTTAGACAACTGATGTACGGTGTAAACACTGGCAGAAGTATATAGCTACATTTGTGTGATGGGGGGAGGGAGAGTTTCTGAATCAAAATAAGGTATTACTAGATACAAAAGAAAGAGGAGGATTGGGTTTACCTGTGTTTTAAATTATTTTGCACCTTGGTGTTTGGTTTGAATGAAATAGTGGATGTTGCTGAAAAATAGAATCTATTTAGAAGCACCTGATCTGAAATTGGGGTGACACAATATTTGTGGTATAATAAAGTCATGGTTAATGTGAATTTTTAAAATCACAGTGTTATATATGTGGAACAGGTTTTTCCATTCAAATCAACATCCACAAATTGGGGCTATGAAAAAATAATAATAAAATGGCTTTGCAATTCCTACTCTGTGGTCCAGACCGCTCCCCCACAAAAAAAGGACAAAGTTGATAAAATTTTATTTAGTTTTCTTTTACTATTCAAAATTGTTGAGTTCTGGGTTACTGGGTTTTCTCTTTTTTTACCTTTCCTTTTCAGGTAGAGAAGAGGGTGAATGATTTATTGCTGCCAGAGTTGTGACAACTTGCAGTGAGGAAATAATTTTCACTCCATGTTCTCAGCAGTTTAGATCAGCAGAAATGAAAACAGCCATGGATCATCTTCACACTACTTGTGAATGATTAGAAAGTATGTAGAAAATGTGGAGGTAGCTACAGAATTTTCCATGTAATGACTGTAATGATTAATTTGGATATTATTATGACATGCTATCTTTATTTTTACTTATATTTACTTTTACTTTTTATTCTATCTTTTAACCATTTTAAGATTAATCACCTGTTTTTAGCTGTATTATAAACTTCCAGAAGTCATTGACATCTGAGATCTGTACATTTACCATGTTTTCCCGAAAATAAGACCTGTCAATGACTTCTGGTCATTGGTCAAGTTGGACTTCTGGTCATCTGGTCAAGTTTATAACAATAAGACCTGGTTTTATTTTCTTTTGAGCCAGATCTTATTTTGGAGGGCTGTCTTACCTGCTTACCTTTGGACCACTGAAGCCAGCTCCGAAAGCCCAACACCAAGAGCCCACCATCACAGTGAAGGGACAAAAACTACAAACAGTGGACCAATTTACATACCTTGGCAGAACCCTCTCCCATGCAGTGACAATTGACATTGAGGTCAACTGCAGAATCGCGAAGGCAAGCTCTGCATTTGGCAGACTACTGACCAATGTGTGGGACCGCCATGGAATAAGCCTTGCTACAAAGCTCAAAGTCTACTGAGCAGTAGTGCTAACTACCCTGATATATGCCAGTGAGATTTGGACTGTATACGCTAGGCAATTGAACCACTTCCACACAACCTGCCTTCTGAAGATCCGATGGCAGGACAAGGAGCCAGACATAGAAGTCTTCTCCAGAGCAGGCCTGCCATCAGTTCACATGATGGGCAGGCCATGTTGCAAGGATGCCAGACCATTGCATCCCTAAACAGTTCGTCTATGGTCAGCTGTCTCAAGGAAAGTGATCACACGGGGGACAAAGGAAGCGATACAGAGACACTTTGAAAACCTCCTTCAAGTCCATAGATATTGACACCACCTCTGGGGAAACCCTGGCACAAGATTGATCAACATGGGCTGCCAGACATCTGAGGACAGAAGAGCAACCATAGCACAAAAGAAGTGAGCACTCTGCAAAGCCAGAGCTGCAAATGATGCAACAATGGTGCCCACCCATGTCTTCCTGACATGTAGCAGAACCCTGTCTTATATTTTTTTTTAACCCGGAAATAAGCGCTTGGCCTTATTGCCATGCGCTCAAAAGCCTGATTGGCTTATTATCAGGGGATGTCTTATTTTGGGGGAAACAGGGCATGTTTGCTTCCATTATATAATGCTTTATTACCTTCTTTGTCCTTGAATGTTTAGTTCATGATAAAATGTTCAGAGTATTAAAACAGCTGTACATGTGGGAAATTTGGGAAATCAGTAGAATTTTTAAAACCCAGGCTTTCTGTATTGCACTCAATGAATAGGAAACTTAGAAAATGTCAAAAAAAAAAAAAAAAAAAAACCCAAGAAAAAACAACTAAGAGATAAGAAAATGGATGGTGGTATTTCAGTCTTTGCCCAACTTGACTTATTTTACTTAACCAATGTGGACAAACACATGGATCCAGATAATTGTGTGGTACTTTTAACCTGGTGGAGTGATGTTGCTAGTTATAGAATGGAATGGAATGGAATGGAATGGAATGGAATGGAATGGAATGGAATGGAACAGAACAGAACAGAATAGAATTCTTTATTGGCCAAGTGTGATGGAACACACAAAGAATTTGTCTTTGGTGTGTGTGTTCTCAGTGTACATAAAAAGACAAGTTACAATTCTTTAAAGATTTGTCTAACTATTATAAGGCACAAATACCACTTTTTGTAAGTCTCATCTGTGGAAATGCTTGCTGTCTGGAATGATATCTTGATATTTATTTAATTAATTATTTAATTAGTATAGCACTTAACTCAGTAATGGGATTTACAAGCAGTTAAAATCAAAACATTATACATTTATAAAGCTAAGAGTTTAAAATATTAAGTAAACAATTGATAAAAACAAAAAAAAATGTATGAAAGGTAGATTGTTTCGCTTTGTATTTGCCTGTTTGAAATCTCTTCATACAGGCTTTGTTTAGATGAGTGACAATGGATGGATGGTTTTGTTTTGCTTTCCTTTGCCTTTTTTTCCTTTTCTGTTCAATATATTTATTTTCCCATTATTTTTACCTATCTAATTTTATTGCTGCATGTTAATAATTTTTACTATTGCTGCAAACTCGTTTGAGATGTGACTTCAGACATAGCAGTATAAAAACATTTAATAGACAAATAATTTCCTTCCTCCTTTTCCAATAATTCAATTGTCCTAGCAAACTCATAAATGCCATGATAATATTAATAGAAACTGGCATTATTTTCAAAATAGTTCACGTAAAACTGCAGAGTATTTCATCTATATAATAATTTAACATAAAGCTGCACTCAACAGAAGAAAGAAAAGTGACATATTTATAACTATAACTCTAGTTTGCAGGGACCAAAGAAGAAATACAACATAAATAATGAAAACCAAATAGTAGCCTAAACAGAACACTACTCTTCACATGGTGTTATGAAATGAACAACAGTAGGAGTGAAAAAGAAAGACATTTATACTGAAGAAAAATACTGTTAAACTCATACACATAGTAATTAAAATAGGTTTTTTTCCAGCTGTTGGTAGATTGGATTATATATTTATAAACTACACAGATGAAACAACAATAATTAATGCATGACTTAGCATGCATATATTCATGCCTGCATAGCAACTGTTTTAAACAAATTAATATTTCTAAAAATTAGAAAGAGGACACCTTCCATATCAAATAAAGAAAACAATATTATTATCTAAATAGAGATCATATACTAGCTTTCTGAAAGGGTCTATGACAATTTGCCACAGGCAACTTGCCATGGCCATCTTGCCACAGGACAACTTGGTGCAGTACAAGAGTTACACTAATATCAAATAAGTGGTGGAATAGAATCATTAAAGAAAGGATTCAAAAGAAGGGACAGAATGAAATGTGAATGGCAAAAATTAAAATAAAGTTTATTTATTTTAAATAATCAAATAGAATTGTTAAATTGTACTACAGTGAGTTGTCCTGTAGCAAGTTGACTGTGATTAATTGGCTGCGGCAAGTTGGCCATGGTGAGTTGATCATGCTGAATTGGCTGCAGTAAGTTGACTTTGCCAAGTTGTCCCATTCCATTCTGAAAAGAGCACGATCGGTGAATGCTTACTAGGATTTGTTTATGAAATTATTCTGTGGTAGTTTGGTAAATTATTTCTGTTGTTGGTTGTACCATAGATAAAACATAACAACATAACTTAGGGCCACAAAACAAATAATGTAGCATAAATATTCCGTTTATCATTATTTTATGCCAGGTCCTATGGAGGAGATAAAACAACATAGAATAACAGCATTGGAACAAAGTTTGGAAGTCTTCTAGTCCAACCACCTGCTCAAGCAGGAGACCCTGTTGCTCTCGTTGCAGCAGAAATCAATAGAGGATATCGATTTTCATAGATATCGTGCTGTTGAGTTGTCACAAAAAATGGCCTGGGAATGGCGTGAAGTGATGTATAATTCAAAACTGATTTTTTTAATGATATACTTACTCTTATAAATGATGCTGAATTGAATCCAACGTAACTCCTGTCTTTATTCACATTGTACAATCTCTCCAACATATTTATTTATAAAATGAGTATCCTACTTTTCAGCTAATTGTCAGGTGATTTAAATAAATAGTTCCTGCTCTAAAACATGGTAATCTAAAAATAACTAATATTAAAAGGTTCATTAGCAGAAGGAAAAATGAGGATTCTCCAGTACCAATTTTTAACATTTCATTTACTAAGAAAAGAGTAAATTATTCTAACATCCCATATTAGAAGAGAGTCTGGCTCTTTTTTCTTGAAAACTTTCTTGAAACTTCTCACTAAATGTAAATTGAATTGTCAATTTTCTCAGCTCTGTGTACAGTTATTTTCCAAATAGCTAAATTCACACACACACACACACACACACACACACACACACACACACCAGTGGTGGGTTTCAAATTTTTTTACTACCGGTTCTGTGGATGTGGCTTGGTGGGTGTGGCATGGCTTGGTGGGTGTGGCTTGGTGGGCGTGTCAGGGGAAGGTTACTGCAAAATCTCCATTTCCTCCCAATCAGCTGGGACTTGGGAGTATAGATGGGGATGGGGCCAGTCAGAATTTTTACTACCGGTTCTCCAGAACTGGTCAGCACCTGCTGAAACCCACCACACATACACTCACACCCCCCCCTATAGGTTTCTTAATTCTTCTTGCAACTGCCATTCTTACCTTCTCAATTTGGGTAAACGATTCAATAAATTTCTACCTCACGGGCTGTTATGTATAGGGTAATTCCAAATCTTGTGGTCATAAGGTAATTATAACAACGGCTCCTGAGTGAAGTAATTAGCTAGCATTTCTTTGCAGCTGTGCCTGCCACTGAGAATGAATGAAAAGTGCCTGCTCACAGCATCTTTTCCCATTTTTTCCTTTTTCCCTAACAACTTTAACGCAGAACTAATCCTTCCCAATATTTTCTCCAAGTTTCCCATTCTATGAGATTATGCATTTTAGTTGATTTCATTTTGCAGTCTAAGAACTCTTCAGAGAACCAGTAATAATTCATGATGACTGTTTGAGATTGGATTCCTCCCTCCCTTTCCTTTCCTATCTTGCATGGATAGAATAACTTAAAATCAAGCTGGAAAAAAATAGATATTTCAATAGTCTCAACAGCAAGATTTACTGTTTATATGGAATTATAAAAGTAATCATAGTCATTTCTGCAAATAAAAAATAAAATCAGATATGTAGTCAAGACACATAATTGGGTTTAATGAGCAATAGTTTCATAAACTTTATTTGTGCTGTGATGAGATGAAAAAAAATCTTGCCAATGTTGATTCTTGTATTTTAGCTTTTACTTAGAACAATAAGTTTGTCCTGTTAAGTATTCCACAACACTTTTATGTACCAGCTCAGTCATCTCTCTGGAGCTAAACTTTACTTGTGTACATGCTGCTATTCCTTCAACTTTCTAAACACACTAACTGTTGCATTCTGCTGCAAGTCAAATAGAGAGGCACTCTGTAAAACAATGAATGACTATATAACAGACTAACCTGGCTAGATAGAATCTCTGCCTAATTAGTTTCAGCTATTTGTTTATAACCTATCTTCTGTAACAATATTGAGTCATTCCTGGCATACTTTTCCTAAAATGTTTTATACGCATTTACATAATCTACATAAAAGGTCTAGGTTGGATTCCAGAAGAATTCAGCATTAATAGAATCATTAGTTCATAATGGACATAAAGATTACTATTAATTTGCTAAGGCTTTGTGTAAAAGGCTGTATACCAATGGATAAAGGAATTAGTTTTGCTGTTCTATTAGTACTTTAAATTAGATTGTGTTCTGCTAGCCATAAACATTTCCCCAAATATGTCCAGCTTTATAATAAACAGCAGCCCAATCAGAAATTTAAGCCAAATAGAATAGAATAGAATAGAATAGAATAGAACAGAACAGAAGAGAACAGAACAGAAGAGAACAGAACAGAACAGAACACAATACAATACAATACAATACAATACAATACAATATTATTATTATTATATACAATACAAAATTATTATTATTATACAATAATAATAATAAAAAAAAATAAAACCTTTCAGTTTTTGGTGTGAGGGATAAGAAACAAAGCCAAAACTTATGTAACTCCTTTCAATCATAATGCCTGGATTGTCAGTCTTCCACTGACTGCATAGCTTTGGAAAGGATTCGCATGATATGGGAGGTAAGGTTACTCTCTTAGACAACCAGATCAGCTGAATCAACAGGATAACAGATATTTCAGCTGTCATACATTAAGTAAAAAGAAGAAGGTAATACAGATTCCATCAAATGTATTTCTTGGAACATTGCAGGGTGGATAACAAGCTAACAGGTGTCTGGGCTGGTGCTTTTCTGATCTTTTGTCTATGAAGTAGACCTTGCACATCTTTTTCTAAGATCACCAGAGATGAGGGCCCAGACGAGGATGGAGACAGGTGTAGGAAGCGGCTACTGTTGGTGTATCTGTTGGGGTAGGTAGTGGTAGAAGAAAATAATATCCTCTTAACTGTTGTGACCTAGGCTTCCTGAGTCATTAAAACACACAAGTAGTCCCAAAAACCTCTGTTATTGCAACAGCTGTGAATTACGTACATTCACAGCTGAGTCCCAATTAGTTGCAAAAAGTCCTTCGGGAGAAGTCCTTTGGGATAATCACCAACCTTTATCTCCCTTGACACTCTGCCAAAGACCTACTTGGCCACAGATTCCAGAATCAAACAGAGATGCCGACTGGGACTAGAATTAACAATGTTGCTTTCCTGCAGAGTGCCCATGTGCCTTTGCTCTTCTTTTAAGCCTTATGAGAGGGGCCAATCATCTCCATGCCTTACTCCCGAGTTGTCCCTTTTATTTTAACTGTTCATGCCTTCTGGCAGCTCTGCACATGCATGCATTAGGAACAGTCTCCTCCTGTTCTTCTGCCTCTCTGCTGTCTGACTCTGGAGGCTCCAGAGTCCGCGCATCACTGCCAGATGGTCCTGGCCACATCTCTGCTTCAGACGCAGAGCCCTCGTCCAGGCCTTCCCCAGACTCCAGGACTGGTCCATGTTCTTCCCCAGCCTTCTCACTGTCCGACTCCGCTGCCAGTTCCACAGGCTGCTGGCGGACCACAACACCTACAGTAGAACTCATCCTGGTCATCTGTAGTTGACAATTCCCCTCAGTAAGGGAGCGAGGTCTGCTGTAGCCAATGATATTCTCCAGGCTTCTCTACATAGTTGCATGTTCATTAGCTGAGAATTGATTTCTCAGTTTTGGGAGTAGCATCTCTTTGCTATCCTGCTCTCCCTTGTTAATATATCCTGGTCTGATCATAAAAGATCCTATCTTCTTTCCTGTAGGCCTCCTTTTTGTTATGATAAAGCTGCTTGATCTTATCTGTAAAGCAAGGCTTATTGTTATATATACCAAAGCTCTTGTTAGGCACACACCAAGTATAATAGAGTATACCAAGTATAATATAATATATTTACATTGATATAATATAGCAATAGCAATAGCACTTAGACTAATATATCACTTCACAGTGCTTTATATCCCTCTCTAAGTGGTTTACAGAGTCAGCATATTGTCCCCAACAGTGTGGATCCTCATTTTATCAACTTCAGAAGGATGGAAGGCTGAGTCAACCTGGAACCAGTGAGAATTGAACTGCCAAACTGCTGGCAGTCTGCAGTTTTAGAATTAGCCTGCAATACTGTATTCTAATCACTGCACCACCATGGTTCTTAATATAGTTTATATTATAAATTATATGTATAGAATAGTGTACTGTAGTATAGTGTAGTGTAATGTAGTGCAGTGCAGTGCAGGGCAGTATACAGGCAAATAATGCAGTATACAGAGTATAATACAAAGATATTCTGGCTTGAGAGCCAAATAGTAAAGCATGCAAATTGGTTTGTGTGAAAATGCATACCCCCAAATAATAGTTCAGTCTTGGGAGATGGAGGTGAAGCGAGACAGTGGAACTGTAGCAGACATTACCATCCTAATACAGATTTGATGGAGGGATTTAAATGTCCATAGTGGAGCCAGCATGTGATTTGCAACAAACAAAGGTATTGAGAATCTGCCACGTTTTCTTTTATGCATGACTTGAAATATAAAGCTTTCTAGGAATCTTTATACATCATTTGTTGATATTTCTTCTGTCTTTGAATTGATAAATAGAGCTAGATTATGGAGAAAGTTGTTAGGCAGAGATATTGATAGGTATCTTTTGGCTTTTGAGTAGGAAGAGATCAGTGGTGGGTTGCTACTGATTCGCCCCGGTTTGGGAGAACCGGTAGCAGCAGCAGCGGCAGCAGGCTCCGCCCGCCCGCCTGCCTGGAATCATCAAAAAAGCGCTGTGCATGCACAAAAGAGCTGCATGCTCGCAAAGCGAGCATGCCCGCATGCCCACGTGCTTCCAATAGCGAACCGGTAGCGAAGATAATTGAAATCCACTACTAGAAGAGATGATGAATTTCTATGATGAATGCAGAAAGGGCTTCCTTAACCATAACCGACCTGCATTAAACTCATTAAGCGATAGTCTTGTTGCAAACCATGTTAAATTTAATAGAACTTTAAATTTTCTATTAAATGTAGAGTATTGTACTTTTTTGAAAATGCTTGCCAATTCCAATAAGAACTTTTGCTCTGTTTATGTATATATTTTTCTTTCACATCAATAGAAATAAGATAAAATAAAATAAGAACCATAGAATCGGAAAGGCATCAGCCTGAAATACCAAATATAATGGTTAGAATATACACTAAAGATGAATAAAGATGGTGACCTAAGAAAGTGTCTTGAGTTCCAATAGTTTTATTTAGTACATTTGTAAGTAGCAATTCCAGTAATAAAGTTTGCAATCATTATATTTACAATTGGTACAACATAAGGCTATTACTATGCAGAAGCAAACACTAAGTGTAACAAAGTTTCCAGTATGAAGAATTCCCATCAAAACTATCATGGAATAATTT